TGGGAAACTACTCTGAACCACCAAACCACCAATCTGCAATTGACGCGGAACCTCCTGAGTGGTTGGTGGACATGAATACGTGAGAGCAGCCGTTTTGGAACTGCAGGGAAGCATTTGTAATGCCTTCCAACAATGTTTATGACTGTTCTGCAGTTGCACTGGGGCACTTGCGAGATCAACCAAGTTGACGTCTCTTGGATTTTGGAAGAGCGTCAACAGGCACTCGCCACTTGAAGAGAAGCCTAATCCTTGACACACAGTCATTGTTTTAACATCAGTTCAATTCAGACTCGGATCCCTTCTGGTACTTGAAGAGTGGTACAGCCACCAAAAGTGGCTGAAAGAAAGCCGAAAGAAGCAGCTTGGCCCGGCTTCCCTTCAGGACGCGCGGAGCGCTGCGGAGCGCTTTGTGTCGAAGCTACCTGAAAGGGTGCTGCGGAATGGCCAAGTCTGCAAGGGGCCCAGCTGAGAATTCGGCCTCATGTGCGTGGGCACCAGATAGGCTGAGAATTGCTCCGGACATATTGACATTGAAGCTGCTAGTCTAAGGCTCCCATGAATGTGAGCTTGTTCGCAGGGCAGCATGCTCAAGCAGAGTCGTGATGCCGGTAAGACCTGGAACAGGACACCTTCACTTCGATTCTGACGTTTGAAATGTTGGCCGCCTTTGAATCTCGTCCCGATTGGGGTCCAACTTGTTTGTCGCGGAGCTGAAGCTCATGAAGCCGAGGTCAAGTTCGCTCAGCCATCGCGCAGAGGCAAGCGAAGGGGTCTGGACGGAGTGCAGTGAAAGACGGGTATCTTCCATTGACTGTGGAGTGCATGCTCGAGCTCGCTTGTGCTTGTGATTTTAATGGATTCCCGCCATAAACGTTGTTTATGTTCCCAATCAGTAGAGTCGGCAAAGTCGGTCGGCGGCACTTCCAAAATACAACAAGAACTATATACATATATACATATGTAGTTTTCTTTCTCTTTCTCTTTCTCTTTCGTTCTTTCGTTTTCTCTTGTCCGTCTCTTTCTCCCTCTCTTCATCTTTCTCATTCTGTGTCCCTTATTTCTTTCTTTGTCCCTTTCTTTTTCTCTTCATCTTTCTCTTTCTTTTCTCTTTATCTTGCTCTTGCTCTTGCTGGTGCTCTTTCTCTTTCGCTTCATCTTTCTCTTTTGCTTTCCTTCATTCATTTCTGTTTCCTTTCCCTTGCGCTCGCAAACAGGGACTATGACCGCTGAAGGCCACTTGCGTCCACTTGGCCACTTGGTTGCCGAGCAAGGCCGTGGCCACCCCGCAAGTAAGCGGACTAAGTGGATGCAAGTGGCCACAAGTGGCCAGGCAAAGGCCAATTGGCCAAGTGGACCAAGTGGCCAAAGCCATTGACCACTTGCTCCCCAAGCAGGTGTACCAAGACCACCAAGTGGCCAAGTGGACTACCAAGTGGCCAAGTGGACCAAGTGGACCAAGTGGACGCGCCACATGGGACTCTGTCCAACCTAGATTAGGTGGTGGCTTCGTTAAACGTGATCGCCAAAGAGCTCACGACCACCCCTACGAGCCCCGGTTTCCTTCAGCTTCGCTTTAAGCTAATTCAAGAAGACATCCCCCTTCCGCAAAATATTCCGCATGTTTACGCGCGTGTGGCGCGGTGCAAATGTTCAAGAACAATGCCCCTCTCCCTACCTCCGAATTGCACGCAAAAACAGCTCCTACGAAAATTGTGAAGGGTCACCTGCAAAAGTGGCGACACTCCTGGGTATAGCAAGTAGCTTGCGCGTCTGGGCTTGTCTCAAAATGAGGGAACCCCTCAAAGGACACCGATGTCCTTTCGGCTTCCCTCCAAAACCACCGATGCGGCAACATGAACAAGGCCCCTCCAAGAGCGGCAAGGATCCAGATCAACCAGGCATACAAAGGAATTCCATTGGCAAATCGCTTGGTCAACAGCTTGGCTTGGTCCGGGAATGCTTAGGGATGTTGATGCGCCAGCGTTCGCAGGTTGCTTTCATCGTTTCCAACCAGGGCTTCTTTTGTCCCTTTTGTGTCTCTTTCTCTTTATTCCTTTTGTTTCTCGTCTTTCTCATTCTCTTTCTCTTCTTTGTCCTTCTCCTTCTCCTTCTTCTTTTCCTACTCTTTCTCTTTGTCTTTCTCCTTTCTTGCTCTTGCTCTTCTCCTTTCCTTGCTCTTTTTTCTTTTTCTTTCTCTTTTTCTTTATCTTTCTCTTTCTCACTATTTCTTTTTTTCCACGTATCCATGTACCTATCGATATATATATATACATATATACATACATATCTGTATATCAGGCTGGGAGTCGAGAGCAGCGCCCGGAGCGCTTCCGCGCCGCCGGATCGAGGCCAGGCGTGGCGCGAGTTCCCACAGGCGAGTGGCAATCGCACTGGAGACCAAATCGCACTGGAGACTCCTTCTGCTTGTTGGGTCGTTTGCCTCGATGTGCTGAGTTTCGGACTCGATGTGAACAAAGATCTGTCTGAACAGGTGGCGAGGTAAGCCTTCTGGCATTGGGCCGGCCGGTCGATGCACCCACGGCGCGCCTGCAGGCAAGTTTGGGTGGGGGCAAGATAAGTTTTCTGGTGGAGGGCTGAGAGTTTTGGGGATGTGTACAATAATCACTTGGGGCACTTTCCGGATTTGCTTCTTTGCTTCTGCCCCGCAGCCACAATTTTGCATTCGCTCCTGACCAAAACCCTCAAGTTCCTTGTCTTAGCCTCGCAAAGCAGAGGCTCCTGCTTCTTGTCACCCTCGAACACGGCGTTGCCGTAGTCCATAAACTGTGCCAAAGGCTCCGCGAGAATTATTTTTGCCCAAAGACAACATGTAGCTTTGCCTAAGAGGGTTTCCAGTAAGGGACAATGGGGTATGGAAAGTTAGCCCATTTCCCTGTCAGGGGTTGGCCGTTTTGAGGGTAGTGGCGAAACAACCTCTCTGAGCGGTGATCGGTAGAAATCCCAAACAAAATGCTTGTTGTGCCCGTATCTCCTATAGAATCGCAAGGGCTTGCTGCAATCCTGGGACTCCAAAAGGCAGCCACAAGGTGGTTTGATGCAGGTGAAGCTGGAAGGCGGCCAGAAGGTGCTTTTGTCAATGGAGTTCAATTCCACCGTGGGCGAGCTCTGGCAGCGCCCACAGCAAGACAAGTGGGCGAGTGAGTGAATATTTCAACGTTGTCAGGCTTTTGTGGGAGGAAAGGAAGGAATGGTCATGGAGTTGCAATTCTGCCAATGAGTATCACATCCTTGGACCTTCTGCGATTCCGAAGTTGCTGGGCACACACCAGAGACGTCCGCCACGAGAGTTTTCGTCTTGGCGGACACCATGGACACGTGGGACGCGCGTGGGTGCCCCCCCCAAACAATGAACTGCAGTGTGCCAAAGCCATATTTTTTTTTTGGCGCGCTTTTAGCATGTCAACCACTTGAATGGGGTCCTGAAACCGTTGCCACCCAAGGCAAGCCTTGGCTGAGTGGCGCTCCAAGAACAAAGTGCCGCGGGCGCGGCCTGGCTGCGTGCTAAGGAGCTTTTGCCAAGCTAAGTTTCGGCCAGAAAGTGCGCAGAGCCATGAGTTCGGACATCTAGAATCTGACTATTAATAACGTTGCTAGCTGTTTACAAAACTGAACAATCGTAACCCGCCCCCCAACCAAATTGCAGTGGGACAACGCAGACAAAGGAGTTGGTGTCCGAACGTGGCCTCCCCCTGATTTCTTTTCAGAATGGTGTCGCCATCATAGGCGGCCCAAAGTGCAATTGAACGCTTTGCCGGTTTCGGTGCAAGCAGCTGCATGTTCGAGAAGTGCGCGCTGCCGCGCAGGACCGCGTTTCCACCAAAGTCCTACTCAGCGCCTGAGCTGCAACAAGCAACATCAAGAAAGGCACTGGGGTTCAGAAAGCACTCTCAGACATTCTTTCGGGCAATGTTACATTTGCAGGCTTTGGCCTGCTGCTAGGTTGAGGGTCGCATGATGGAAGTTTGGCTGAACAGTAAGGACAAGAGCCAGCTCCGAGCTGAGTGGCAACTACGCGCGTTTGGCAGTGCAGATGACTGCCCGTGGGCAAGAACCGATGATCGTAGCACAAGACTTGACAGAGGCGTAAAAAGGTCAAGAGGCAGGCTCACTGCAGATGATTTGGTGTGCGCTTCTGAGGACATTGCAAGAAGCTGGTTTAACGCCCAGCGCCACCCTCTTCGTCTCTTGTGAGGTCTGTGCTCTATCCAACTCTACAGCATTTGCGCATTGCTTTGAAGGTAGCTTTTTGGTTGGGTTTCAAGGGAAACCTAAAGGAAACCAACCGTTGGTTTGGGATTCCCTAAAAATGAAGACCCGTGACGCACATTACATTTTGCCGCTCGAGTCCCTGTCAGGCGTCCCAGGACCAGGCCTGACCGAAGCGTCGCCGTGCAGTCGGTTCCAGTCGCTCCGAGACGACGGAGAACCTGGCCTGCGCCTTGTACATAAGAGCCAGAGTCGTGCATGGGCCTCTCCCAAAACAACAAATCAGAGATGTTCCGGCTACATGATTCGAGACACTGGCTCCCGCAAGTCCCTGGAACAGCTGCAAGCAAAGCTTGCACCCTCCAAGTCCAAAACAACTGCGCTGCAAGTTGCGAACTCTATGCATAACAGGGTCGGGAACGAGTGTCCTTTGCAGTGAGCAGCAACTTGCATGAAAGCATCCCAGTGGGGTGCTAAATCTGTTGCCATTTCGCAGCTTTTAGGTTGAAGGAACATGCGAAGAAAGCCAACCGTCAGGGCACTTGACCAGAGGACTAGGCACAGCATCACAGAAAACGTTGGAGCTGCGCGCTGCACACAAACCGTTGGAAAAGCGCAGATGTACTCACGGAGATGGACCTATACGCACATATGTACGAACAGGACGCCTTTTGGTTGGCGGAGTGGCTCCTAGCAGTCCCTTTGCGGCAAGGAACACTTGCGCCAAATCAACCCACGGTCCCGCACGTGCCAGCCAGGCCAACAAGAAACAGAGCCAATTGAAGCCAGAGCTTTTGACCAGCTGATGCATCCAAGCGAGGACGGTGCTGCTGAGACCTTGTCTTAATCTCATGGAGTCTCATAGCGTCATGCATCAATCACTCTTCTTTCTGGCACGTTTGCAGAGTCGTCATGTGCGCTGGTCAGCATTTCTTGACTTGCTGTGCAGACATACCAGCCTGGGCGATGCAGACAGAGCAACTGGTTCACAGCTACCTCCGACCCAAGTGGCCTTGTCTCGTGCGAGGCCTCAAACGAACGGCCCGAAGCTCAAGTGCGGCTTCCGATCAGCTTCAAACAACTCCAGTGTCGATCCATGTCTCGCACCTTGATCCATGGGCTCCTCGATCACGAGGGTTGAGTGGAAGCCTCTCAGTTTGGGTTGTCTTGGACGAGAACATGGCACCTGCTTTGTCAGCTCAAGCGAGCCCTGCGGGGTGGATCTGATTTTCGAGTGACTTCTTGACCAGACAGCCGGAAACTCAGCGAAGTTCCTCAGAAATGGCAGTGCAGAATCGAGCCAATCCAAGCTTTCGCGGGCCAAAAATGCCTCAGCCAGAGGAGAAAGGGAGGTGGCTCGATCAATGAGTTGTGCGTGGCTGGGACTGGGCCAAGGGGGCAGCTGTGCACTGTGCAGGTCATGGCGGCAACTCTCGTTGAGGCCATGAGCGACTTGGCTCTGAAGGAACCCGAGGCCAAGGAGACCATGATGGTCGAGTTCAAGGCGAGGGAGTCCACATGCAATGTGCCGTGCGCAAGCCACATGGGGAGAATGCATGGAGCTTCCACAGTTTAAATCCCCCCGGTTTTGAAGGGACTGGTTTTGCTTTCAAAGATGGCTGAAGGGCCCGAACCTGAGGCGTTACTGCGAAAGTCTGTCCTCTCTCGTGAATTGCTTGTTCCGGTTGTTTGGATTGCTATCATTCTATTGGGCACCTGGGGACGGCACACCTGTGTTTTTTGCTCGGACGAGCCACTGTTTTTGTGCTGGGTTTCCCTGATTTGAATCACCATTCGCATCAGAAGAGACAGTTCCACCCACCCACCCACGCACCCACCCACCCACCCACCCACCCACCCAACCAACTAACCAACCAACCAACCAACTCTCATGGGAAACGGCCGTCAAGCAGTTCCGCTTGACCCATCTCGAGGTGCAGGGCCTCGAGAGCTTCCACTTGGAGCTGGAGACGGGGATGAAGGTCCGGGAGGTGAAGAAGTTGGCGCATGAGCAGCGCCCGGCCGGCAGTTGGACTTGCGAAGCAGCTGGCGTTCCCCATATTTCGTGGGACGTTGATGGGGCGGATCCTGGTACAAGCGGTTTGCGTTGGCGAATTGCTTTTATGTTTCTTCCCCGGGTTGGGCATGTCTGTGTTTGCTTGTTTCAGCTCCTTTTGGTGACACTCTTCTCGCCAAAAACAAGCTGGTCCGTGATCCAACTGGGCCACTTGTGCTTTGACAGGGGTGCTGTCAAGGGCTGAATCACAGGTGCGACATTGAGCCAGAACACATGCGCCTGATCTGCAACAGCCGGCAACTGAAGGACAGGCTCGGGCAAGAAGTTTTCTAACCGCTCCATTGCCGTTGCTTTCCTGAGAAGCTCTTCTGAACGGGGGCGTGTAAGGCTTCGTGTAAGGGCTCCGTTTGAAGGTGCTTGCGCAGGGAACACTCCGTTAGCTCTTTTGCCTCGTTGCGCACGGGAGGACTGGGACATCTTGGAGTGCCAGGGCCCGGTGCAGGTGTTCTTCACTGCGGGCCACACGGCCATGCTCGGAGGCTTGGGGCCCTGCGTGACTATCCTTTCGGCTGAGATGGGATTCAAAGACTGAGATGAATGTGGACCTGGTGAACAGGAGGCACAGGATGAGTGAAACAGTCCTTTACCAACATCTGTTTTCTTGAGTCATCCTGGAGAATATGTGTCTCTTTGCAGGGCTGCCAGAAGGGGCCCTTGGTGAAGCTGTTGCCTTGGTTTGTCGCTTTTGATTTATGTCGTGTTCCAAATGCGGCCATCTGTGCGGCACTGCACTTCGGCACATGTCAAAGCCTGATTGTCGTCAGCGTCGCCATGCGGTAAGAGACAAACGGCTGACCGAGACAAAACTCACATATTCTTGCCCACTGGCTCGTTGATGGAGTCCTGCACTAGTTTTTGGTCCGTTTGGGAAGGACATGGGGAACTAAAGCCCCAAACTCACCTGCGCGCATGTGAAAAGCGACGCTCTTTAATTTCTACTTGGAATCCAGGTTGCTTCTCAGGCTGCTTGCTCATTTCGGGACGAAGTATGAGCAAGCCTTGGGTACTTGCTGAAGAGGGTGTCTTTGAGAGTCTGTTGGGCCAGAGAGGGTATACCAGTGGAGTGGTGCAATCTTTTGCGATGACCAAGTATGGAAGAGAAGCGCAGAGCTTGTCACAGATGAACTCACCAATTATCCAATGAAGCAGGGAAACAACAAGAGCAGAGAGTTAGAACCAGGCGGAAGGAACAATGCGCGGGCTGGCTGTTGAAGAGCGCCCTGGACAAGCCTAGCTGCCGAGCCCAAAACGCCTTCCGTTTGCCAGGCATGGGTGCAGAGCAAGCGCGTGGGCGGGTGTGCTTACCATTTGCCAGACATAAGTGCCGTGCTGAGCGAGCGGGCGTGCTTACCATTTGCCAGGCGTGGGCGCAGTGCTGAGCGGGTGCGCGTGGACGGGTGTGCTTACCATTTGCCGGGCACGGGTGCAGTGCGGATCGGATGTCTTACCATTTGGCAAGCATGGGTGCAGTGCCGAGCGGGTGCACATGAGCGGGTGTGTTCCCATTTGCCGGGCATGGATGCAGTGCTGGGCGGGCGCGAATGGGTGGGTGTGCTTACCGTGTGCTTACCTTTGCCAGGTCTGCGTGCAGTGGCGCGTGAGTGGGTGAGCTTATGCGCATGGGCGGGTGTGCTTTCCAGGCATGAGTGCAGGGCTGAGCGGGCGCGTCGGCGAATGGAAACGCGCAGTGGGAGAAAATGCTAGTTATCGTGGGGAAACGAAGCAGCTTTTTGCTCGTCTACAGCCTGGCGGAGGGAGCAGCAGACGGTTAGAACAAGAATGATAATCACATGAAAAACCTGAATGCGTGTGGATTCGGGATCCCCCAATGACGCAAGTTTTTCTTCAACATTTTGCCCGCCTGAGACATCCTCCCAAGAACGCGCCAAGCAATAGATCACAGTTTTGAGCAAAGAATACTCACCCAGGCTGGCTCGCTCTCTTGCGAGCAAGTTGATCAAGCAAACCAATCTCACCAACCGGATTTCGTCGAACCGCCCATGTTTCAAAGTTTCCAGGTGTCAAACCCCAAGTCAAAAACTCGTGGAGCCCCTTTGGAGTGCGGGGACCGGCTGGACCGGGACCGAGACCTGATCCAGGCGTGGGCGGCACCGGGGGCGGCCCCCGCGGCGGCCACGGCGCGAAGCCGCAGAAGCAGCCCTTCTCCGGGCCGGTGCGGGGCCTGCCTGGCTCCAAGGCCCGCACCGTGGTGAACTGTGGTAGTGGGGGTAGTCGGGGGTCAGGGTCGGGGGAGAACTCGTCGTGGATGGGATGGTTTTGGGCCATGGTGTTTGTTGAAGCCGAAATTTGGGCGGGGATTTGTGGAATGATCAGGGGCCGACTTCATATTTGGCAAAAGGAGTTGGTTCTCTTGGTTGTCGCTTAGCGTCCTATAAGGTTGGTGAAGCAGACAGTTTGGCCAAGAAGCCAAAACGGACCTGTCAAGCATGCGGCTATAAATCCGATAGGTGCAATTGTATGACCTTCGTGTTTCCTGTGATTGATTTGAGAGAAGCTAAACAATTGCGGGATCACTGCTTTGAGTATAGCTCGCAAATTCATGAACACAATGGGAAGGAACGGGACAGAAACTCAGTGACCTCCCTTGGTCATTTGCCCAGCTTCCCGTTTGTCGGGGCGGCAACTTGCCTTGATCACCCAATTCCTTTGCCATACTGACAATGATATCTCATGTATCCAGAAATGGCAAATCAGCCCTTTGGCTTTGACATCTGGCTGTGGCTCAAAAAACCGGTACCAAAATGGAACCCTCGTAAGTGGAAAAATGGACCAACACCTGCGTAACCCCTCCTGTTTATTTTTTTGAGCCACACCCATTCTGTCGGAAGTTGAGCCGTTCACCTCGGAGCTGTGCGGCTTCTCGACGCTTTGCCGCGTGTGTTGTGCCGGCCAGGGCCTTCGGTCCTCCCGGGTCTCGGGCCGCCCAGGGGGCATGGCTCTGATCCGGAAGTACGGCATCATGATGAAGCGACAGGACGGGGAAACGGCAAGTGCACACTTTTTTTGTCCGGCCGGTTTGCTGATCTATGCTGAGGTTGTGTGCTCGAGTATTTCTAGCAAGGGGTTCTTTGCATGTGACACGTCCTATATACATATATATATATATATTGTCCTTTACATGGCGATGAGCTTAATCGGATGAGACAATTCACCTAATTGTAGGGTGCTGGCAGGAAGTTTTGGGGTACAGATGAGCTATTTTTGGAACTTGGGCGGCAATCGTGCTTTTGTTTGACACACCTCCTCTAAGCAACCTTTGCCAGTCAACTGAAGGGGCCTCCCAATTGGCGTGCATTGGATATCTCATATCTCTCAGCACTGTCATACCGGAGGGACAGGATCCTGAACCTGGGGCCACAAAAGGAGAGCAGGCCAAGCTCAGGGGTCAAACCGTGCGGAAGTAAACAACAGAAGGCAACACACCCGTGCAGTCCAGTGTGGTCAGTGGCAATCCGATAATCCAGTCTGAGGATTGCCAGGGCCTCAGCCGATGGCTTAAGGGGCCAGCCGCAAGGAGTTCCGCGAGAAGGCGGAGGAGATTGGCTTCCAGAAGTACCGCTGAGTTCAGAGTTCAGGGCTGCATCCGTGCGCAAGTCCCTGCGTTTGTGACATGTCCAACAGAAAGCGCATGTCACGCTCCCTTGCATGGAGCCTTCTGAGTCCAGGATCGAACCCTGGCCGCAGAAAAAACAACATGGCGCAGGAAAAGGGTCGGGTCACATGGAGACTGGGCGTGCGCATTGCGTCCGGCCAAGTTCATTCACAGAACCCTGATGCAGGATCAGACATGAACTCTTGGTTTCCGCCTGGGATTTTGCTTGCTTGTTCAAGGGGTCTTGGCGATGCGCGGAGACAACCACGCTGGCAGCTTGCTGAGGTGCATCGGAACCGGAGGCAATTGAGGTCGGTCAGGAGGCTTGGGCGTTTCCTTCGCCGGATTAACATGCTTCATCAAGCCACCTCCACTTCAGCTGGGCCGAAATTCCGTGCTTCCAGCCCGAGCTGGCTGTGTCAAAAGCGCCATGAGCCGCAATATCTTCACGATCTTGCGGTTGATACAATTTGTTTCGCTGCTTAGGGCGAAAGGGCCAGAAGGTACAGTGCAACTTTCCTTGTGAATCTGGAAGGGGAGCGAGCACCTTTGAGTGAAGCTAGCCCCTGCAGTCTCGGCACTTTTCCCAGGGCTCTGTTTCCGAAGGCACACGTGGTCGGTGTCATTTTGGTTTGAACATGGCTTTCCGGAGGGTGCAGCCGATTGCGCACGTTGTTTGGTTCCCGCGTACTTGCGTATGGTCTTTTGTTCTCCCAGGACTCGGCCGAGAGTCCGCGCAACGAGGAGGAGGCGAGGCACTCGAGCTGTACACTGACGAGTCTTTTTTGGGAAGGGTTGGGCGGGCACAGCAAGTTGGGCGAGTTCCAATGCAGGCGGAGTTGGCGGAATGGCAGCACAAGGCTGGGCCATGGCGACCTGGGTGCGAAGGGAAGAATTGGGGGGAGCCGGCAGGTGGCTGCACAGCGAGAGAACATCGTGCAGAACTCAAGTGTTGGATCAGGCATGCGATATGGATGCCAGCACCCCTGCGATTCTAGTGAATTTCATGTCACTGCACATCAGAGTCACCGAGTAGAGCCATTTTGTTCAATGTTAGCGTCCCTGGAAGCTTCGTTTAAAGCGGAAAGTCCCTGGCAGCAGTTCGCCGAAAGGCCGTCGTTTCACCTGTTGCCAAGGCCCAAAGCGAGCGCGAGCGCGGCGAGCTGCGGGCAGAGGTGGAGAGGCCATGGGGCAGAGTGCGCCTGTAGGGTTTAGCTGTGCCAACTGTGGACGGGGATAATGCACTTTAACGTTTGCAGCTTTATGCCACCGTTAAGGACCTAGGGACAATTGCTGACAATCTTGGTAATCTTCACCATCCCATGTATTTGTGGCGAGCACACATGCATGTCTCATCAAGAAGCTGATGGCAGGCATTTAAAGAAGTATCATGTCTCAGGTGATCGATTCTGGCAACAGCACCCCAAATCCATGCTGATGGGTGAGGTCAAGTGAACAGTAGTTGTAGGTTCGTCATCACAAGTTGCAAAGGAAGCCTGAGCACCTGTTCGTGCATGGAACCTGATTTGCAGCAGGTGCTTGCCTAGTTCGGTGCAAGCTAAGCATGCCTTTTTGTGCCCCAGCCTGCCCCATGGCAAGCCTGCAGTCAGACCTTTGGCGGGACCTTCAACCCTTCTCAACGAAGGGTTGCCACGGCTCAAGCGTTGAAAGGCTGCAGGTCGCACATAACCCATGCGCGCCCATGACTGGACCAGCCCAACAGTTCTGCAGGTGCTCCACCTTTAGAGGCATTCAAGGTATCGGCCTATGCCATTCCAGCGTTTGCCCTTTCCTGCGAGGCTGCAGCAAGCAGTCGCCTCCCTGACGAGCCGGGTCCTGATATTGGAGAGCAGGTGGGAGAAGTGGAAGGGAGCGTTCTGTCTTCCAACTTCAGAGCGTGGGTGCGAGCTCGTGCCAAAGAAAACGCTACAGCTGACCACAGCATCCGAAGCAAACCACGGCATGTGAAAGTTTGCCTGGTACATTGCCTGCCTGTACTTTGACGGATTGACATTTCTCTGTGCTGTGCTTGCTTAGTCTGGCTCAAGAGATACGGCCGCCCTTTGCCGCGATGTCCAACATGCTCGCAGAGACTCAGGTCAATGATGAGGCCGGGATTTGGCACTCTGGTTGCATGCGACCCCAAAGACATGGGCAAAAGCTGCTCTACCGTTTTTTTATTTTTGTTGTTTTTTTTGTTTTGTGAGCACTCCCGGCACCGATACCAATGCAAGGGGGCAGAGCAGAGTGATGCCAGACATCCTGAGGGCCACAGTGCGCATGGCATGCCAGTGTTAGGTGGTCAGCCGGAAGCTCAAAACGATCCTGCGAAAGGCGGGGCCAGGTGTAGCACACAGTTTCCAAGGCCGCATGAGAGTTCGACCTTATTGGTGGTGCTTTCCGAATGGCAACATGATCCCTTTCCCATGCTGTTTTGCTGTTTTGATCATGGCTTATGCAGCCCACGAGGCCACGGCAAGCAATGGCATGAACTTTGGCCAAGTCGTAGAAGAGGCACTGGACTGAGAGCGGCTGGCATGGCTGTCTTGTCGCTCGCTCACAGCCCGGAGGCACAGGTTCATGTCTGACTGGTTCTTTTCAATATTTCTCGTGAAGCTTAGGGGCGCTTCACGGCTTAAATTATTCAACATGTCCTGCGCGACTCCAGCGCGACTTGTGGCTTCGATTTTTGATAAGCCTTCCATCGTCTCGCTTGGCCTGCAGGGCAAACAATTCATCTGCAGTGACCCGAGAGCATCCTTGACTCCTCGCTTTTCTTTTGCTGGAGTTTTGATGCTCAGTGCCCGACTTATTCAAACTGTGGTTGCTCATTGCTTCCTTTCTAGCCTCCCATTTCAGGCTGAGGGCCGGGACAGATGCTTCTCAACCTGACAGGCCCAAATCTGGAAGACAGCCTTTGGCTTCCTGTTCACAGCGCCCCAAAGACCTTGAATTCGACTTCACGACCCAGGCGAATTTCAGATGGGGTCTGCCGAAGCGGTTTCCGAGGTGAGAAGGCAGTTGAGAAGGCACTTGGTCGAGGGTGACAACCTGTCGGAGCAGGTCTTGAGCGTGCCAAACTTGGGTTGGCTCCGCAGATGTCTCGTGAAAATCCGGGCCCCCTTCCCTTTTCGGTCTTATTTTTTTGGGGAATAGCAGCTCTAACCTTGGAGTGCCTCGGCTGCCCATTTCAGGGCAAAGCCTCCCTGGCCGAGGTGCTCCTGACGTCAAGCAAGAAGGGGCAGAGGAGGTTCCAGGTTGAGGAGCTGAACGGCCAGAGGCGGAGAGCGGGGATCGAAGCTGGAAGGTTCTGAGCTTCTCGATTTTGGCTCGCGATTTTTTTTTCTTTTGCGAAGCCACTTGTTGAGCGAAACCAACTATTTTGTTCAGTCAAAAAGGTCTCTGTTTGCAAGCATCAGCTCATTTGTTGCTTTGTCTTGTGGAGCATGGTACTTTTCTCATTCATTCTGTCGACATTCTGTCGATGATTTTCTCGTTCTCCCGTTCTGGCACTGGTTAGAATGCGCTGAAACATGTAATGCGCTGAAACATGTATGTGACATTTGTTCGTTGACTGAAACTTCAATTGTGACTGTACACTGGTCATTCACCAAAGATAATATTATGCATCTATTGTGCTTTTGCGGACGCCCCTGTTTGCTTGACTCGTGCTGTTTGTTGAACTCTGCCCAAGCGCTGACGCCCTGTTAACTGAAACTGATACTGATACCTTTGTCTGAAACTTTTGCCAAATTCACCTGTTGTCTCACGCCCCCTGAAGAGCACACCCCAAAAGGAAGCGTGGATCAAAGGAGCTGGACATACACCCCAAAGTGACGTGGCTGAGCTGGCGGTCAAGAAAATGAGAGGCCCCTCATCAAACACTGTATCGCCCTTGTTCTTTGGGACATGTACATGGTGGGCCATGCCATCAGCCAAGCGCTTTTTGAACTGTGATACTGTTACAGGCCTTCAGCCTTGAACACTCGGTGTAGTCGCATGGTGTTCCCGTTGTTCATGGAAAAGGGAAATTATGGGAAGAACTTGGGATGCTTCCCACGATGGCCAAGTAAACAGGCCGCGCCAATCTGTTAAGTGCCAGTCCAGTGATGGATCCACAAAAACATACAGTCTTGTTAAGCTGCACATTGTTTGACAGCATAGTGATTGCACTGAATTCACTTGCCCGAATCGACACCTACGCTATCTTTCCATCACCTATACCAAACTGCGTACGCAGTGCATCAGTTGATACAATCTGTGCCCACATGAAGGGAGCTGCTCGGACCCAGTCAAGCGGCGGATCACGGCCAGGACGTAAGTGACCCCTGCCCCTTTTGCAGACCCACGTTCCATCCGCCCCGGTTGAATGTGCCGGGTTGTGAGGGGTCCAAGATGAAAGCTCACCAAGGTGTCACACAAGGGTGTACCTACCACAGATGTGCTCCCTAAGCCCGAGGTCTGCCGCCAAAGTGTGACCTCTTTGCCCCTGACCCTAAGAGTTTTAAAAAGAAATCATCGAGCGGCAGAGGCTCAGCATGAATCCAGACAATGCCGATGGTCTGAATGTCAGGATCCATCCAACTCTAAGACTTGTCCAGACCGAAGTCAGCCAGGAATTGGCCAGCCTCTCAACAGGTCTTTGCGTTCTGCGCTCTGCGCATTTCTTCCTTCCGCCAGGCTGGTGAGACTGGCACAGGTGCCCCAGATCTCTCCGCGGCAGCCTCAGGCATTCCGAGAAGGGTCCGCCTGACCCCAAGAGGAAACCCCTGACCTATAGAAGTGGAGCCACTACCCAGATGCGAAGCAGTTGCCGTGTGCTCAGATGCCGCATTGAGTCATGAGCCATGAATGCTTCTTTCAAGTATGGCGTCAACCGCACTAGATTTCAACGTTGGGATGCTTGCCAGTGAAGTTGGCAGCGACTGGCATGATTGGCCAGCACGAAAGAAACATGCCAACATGCTGAGACTGCTTAGAACCAATCGATCACTGAGGAAGCAGCGAGAGGCGTTGCAGAATAAGTTTCTGACGGAGATCTCCGTCAACCTGGCAAAGTTTGTGCGTGAGGATCGCCAGTCAGTGCGGTCTTTGGACCAGATCTACAAGCACTTTCGCGAACAGAGCCTGGGCTGTGTGTTTGCTTGCTCTATCCCACGGGAATGGTCCACAAGGGGAGTAATGTTGAGAGTTGCGGAACCAGCAACCAGCAAGGGCAGCTCTGTGTGACGTGGAAATTGGGTGCACGGCTTGCTTTGCGGCCTGCACCTGGGTCTTTTGTTTCTGTCTGATGAGTTGGAGTCTGCTCGTGCCAACTTAGGTGTTCCGAGGAGGACTTCCGGGAAGTCCTGAATGGCACGCACGGCGATGATGGCAGGCGCCGCTTTGTTGAGCTGGAAGGAGAGATGTGGCTCGCCACGGAGAATGCCAAACCGTACCGTCAATACAAGGACATCACCTGGCGACAAAACCTTGCGGTGGGCGTGACTGCAAGAGAACATCGCGGGGGATCGAAGAATGTTGACCTCGACAAGCGACATGAGTGCCGCGGTCAACACACGTTCTGATTTGAAATTAAGAGGAATGTCCATTTGCCCTGAGTGCAACCGGCGAAGCTCAACCACGGCAGATTGGACCGATCCAAACTCCATGAAAGGTTTTCTGAGCAAGGGAATACACTTGCGGCAGGAGCATTGGGACTTCTTGATGGAAGCCCTCCGCTCGTACGATGCCAAGGTGAGTGCGAGGCCAGAAAATGACATCGAACCGACGGACATTGACTGCATAGACAAGCAGATCTCAGCGCTCGTGCGCAGCTTGGCTGCTTGTGAGCTCAATGTGGTGGGCTGTAGGTGCCGTGCATGGCCATTCCGCCTCATATTGTACATGTTTGTTCATAGGCACATGCGTCAAAGTGTTTTGGCTGCAGACCTCAGCTGCCCTTTCCAAGGGAATGGCAAGCGTTGCCCGAAAATGCTCGAAGGAAGATTCTTGCCACCCTGAAATTGGGTATGCTCAGATAGGCCCCTTATTTCATTTTGATCTTGGCAGAGTGGTGAGACGCCAACTTGGCGCTCTACAACACCATTAGCTCGGGAAGGGGATGTGTGCGTGTGTGAGATGTATATTGCCATGCATGTGCCAAGAGACTCAAACTCACTTGGGTGAGATGAGATATGCTAAGACCCGATCACAACTTGCTGCAGCGGGGACAAAGAAGTGTTAGACATGCTCATCAATTCGGAGGCGCCCGCCCGCGCCCAAACACGCAAACACACAGAGAGATAGGCACCGCACACACACACACAGACACACAACCCTCACCGACCCCAACCCCTCGCCCGCAGGCAGGTGCGCATGTTTCTACTTTGCAGGATCCTTTTGTGGGGGTTCTCACCCTGTTGTGCAGTCGGACTTTAAGCATCTCAAACTTGTTCAATCTTCACAGGTGGCTCAGATGGGCAGTTGCCTGTCGGAACATTCCTGTGTAAGGCTTACCTCTCCAAGTGAGCTGTTCATCTTAGTTAAGTTTGAGCTTGGCAAGGTGCCTGGATGTCGCTGGACAGCTGGGCCTTGTCTCTCTTTGAGAACGAATCCGTGGAGGTGGACGTTGTGCCAGGCACCAATTTTCGACTTTGTGCCTCTTTGCTCAGCTGACTCTTCAGTGTATATATATATATATGTATTATATATATATATGTTAATATAATGTGTCAATATATGCAACAAAATAGGCATATATATATATATATATGTTGGCACCAGCGGGATTCGAGCTGAGGATTTGGGGAGCGCCCGGAAGCCGTCAAATGGGAGCAAAAACGCAAA